CAGTGAACATGAAATACCGTTTACAAAATACTACTCAAATCACACAAAACTGAAATTCTTCCATTGCACAACACTTCCTACTGCCCAAGTGAAGATTTTAAAAACATACAAAAGAAGGGAACATCAATAACTTAACTAGTTCGTTACTTGCAGTCAGAGCCACCGCCCTTTTCTTCTTACTGCTAAATACCTGTACAGTAGAGCTGGAGACCGGCGATGGGAAGTAGAGCTGGAGACCGGCGAGGAGAAGTAGAGCTGGAGACCGCCATTGGAGTCGAGCTCGGAATCGCCATGGCTGACTTTTGGAATGGCTGGATTTGTTGGGGTTGGGGGATTTGTTGGAACTGAAAATCAGGATTAGGGATTGGGGGAATGGTGGGGGATTTCACGATTTCAATCAGTAGAGCCAGAGACTGGCGAGGGGAGTGGAGCTCGGAGTCGCCATGGCTGGTGATTTAGAGTGGAATGTGGCGGATTCAGTTCGAATGGGAATGGTGGGGGATTTCACGTGTGATGCTCAATTGGGCCGGGTGGGGCGGGTATTCAAATTGGGCCGGGTATGAAAATTCAAAAAACTGTGTAAATTGCTGTGTAAGTGAGTGTATGAGTAGCATTTCTCTTCATTATTTACATTCGTTGACCGTCTAGGTATCATTGTGCATTCTAAACCCCCTGTTTCATCCTATTTTTAAGTAAAATATATTATAAAGTAGTGATTTTTTTATTTTTTTTTTGGAGAATGTATAATTAAAAAATAAAGAATTTTTTTGAAACATATATATAATTATTTTATGGAAAAATATTTAGTTGAAAATGAAGTTTGAAAAAATATATTCTTAAAAAAATGGGGCTCAGGGCTTAATGAATAGCATTATTTACTTTTTAATAATTAACATGTTATTCTCATACAAGAAATGTATCTGTTCGAAAAAGACAGTACACTTTAATGTAAAAAGATGTTTTTATTGAATAATCACGTCTTTTAAACAAATAATAATTTCAAAATAGACAAGTTCTTCAAATCGAGACGTGGGGAGCCAACTTCCACGGAATTGTTTATTGAGGGTTACTTGTAGGGATGTCAATGCGGCTAATCAATTCGGGAGGCCCGTGACTCAGCCCAAGAAAAGTTCGAGTCGGGCCGACTTGTAGCTCGGTAGGACCGAGCCGAGGCTTGGGCTGAGCTCCATTTTCGGCACGTGACGAGCCCAGTCTAAAAAAAAAAGTAACTCGCAAAACTTTAAAAAAAAAAAAAAGCTACATATTTTACTGTTTATATAGGGGGAAAAAATCGATCCGACTCAGGTTGAGTCTAAATTTTTTGGTCGAGTTTTTGCTCGGCTCGGCTCCTCTCAAGCAAAAAAAAAACTTGAACCATTTTTACTCTAGTTGAGCCCGAGCTTCAAGGTTTGGCTCGCGGCTCGGCTCGGCTCAGCTTGACTTGGCTCAGCTCGGCTCGTTGACACCATTTGTTACTTGCATTTTGTTTGTGCATTCAAATCTCTTTTGTCAGGCTCTTCCTAAATTAAGTTATTGCTTGGTAATTTATTTATTTTTATGTTTTTTTTTTCAAATTTTAAATTCGTCGTACTTCATTTTTAATCACATATTTTATTGGATTCACTATTTTTAATGACTTTTAATCACACATTTCATTGAAGTAGCAAAATTACTAGCAAAAGGCTATACGAAAAATCAATATTAGTTATTATATTAATTTACACCGATCAATTACACAATACCACTTGTACATTATATAACTCTTGATGTCACTTTTGATATACATATAACAAAGCCCTTAAAAATATAACATCGAATCGTCCTTAGTTTTTGCGTTCTCACACAAACCGAATAGCCTTCTACATTGGAATGTTTTTGCTTAGATATAGTGCTCCCCACCCCCTACTTTAAAATCTTCCAATGGCTTATAATAATGGTTCGTTTGATAACATTTTTACTTTTACTTTTATTTCTATGTAATTTAAAAGAGTTTTTTGTTTTTTTTATGAAACTACACTGTGCATGTAAAAACTTTTCTAGTCAGACAAATCAGCATTTGACTTTTTAAAATGAATTGAAGAAGTTAACCCCTCATGCACTAAACAAGCAATCCAACAACTTGGCTAGTTAGTCCCGTTTGCTTTTGCTAAAAATCAAATTAGTAAGAAATTTCAATAAAAATTGATGAAACATATGATTGAGAATTTGATAAAAATTACGGTTAAAAAAAAAAAATTGGAAAAGGGTTCAAACATGCTAAGATTTAGTGAGTGTTTGGTGGGTATTAAAATTAGATTTTTAGTAGATTGTGATAGAAATTTTTAAAATGTGCGGTTGAAAAGTTATGAGACTCATAAAATATGTTAATATTTTGACTTTAATTTAAATTAAAATCTGATTTTAATCAGAAACAAACGGGAGCTAAACAATCTACTCTGTGATCAAGTTCCAAGAACCCAAGATGGAGTGCAGGGGGCACGGGAATTGAATACGAGTAATGCTATTTAGCTTTACTGGGGATGAAAATACAGTTTACGTGACGTCAATGTAGCATTAAATGATATGTGAAATTAAATAAGTCATTTAATATCACATTTCATTTAATCTATCATTTAAAGTCACATAAACTGTGTTTTCATCCCCACTGAGAATGAATAACATTACTCATTGAATACGGGCGAGAATGAGAATGATGGATGATTTCCAAAATTCAAACAAAAGTTATGGTTTGTTTGCTTGTTTATTATATAGGAATAAAACGTCACCAAATATATATTTCAATAGTTTCTTAATCTACTATAAATATACCATAAAAAATTATACTAGTTGGACATTTTTGGATTACACTGTAGATGACATTCTCCCGTGTGGATGAAATTTGGTCATTGATTGAAAAAAATATTGTTAAAATCAATGTAAAAAAAATTGTCACATCATACAATGTCAAACTTGATGTACATATAACAAAATTGTACCTTCAAATAACAAATATCTAATAGATGACTTTCTTTGCATACGACACCTAAGCGAGGAATGAAGAAAGTGCGATAAAGAGTTACTAAAGAAAGTGCTATCTTTTAATTATCTAAATGAATAAATCTAATTAATTAAAATGCTTATTTTGTACTTTGCATACTAGCTACTTGTAGGATTTTACAAACTTTTCCAACTTGTTGGGTCGTATAATTGGGTCTAATGAAAAATAAGTAAACTTATAGAAAATGATAATTCGATTTCACAGTCGAGTACCCACTATTTTGATTCAAGAACCAAGAATCAACTCGGACCAAACGATTCTTGGTTTTTGATTTCGATTCCATTTTTTGTTTTTGTTTTTGATTTT